TTTGTTATTGGGACCAGGGTGAGGCACGAAGTCTTCCAGAGCACAGGGACCCTCCCAAGCGCAAGCTCATGTTGAAGACATGAGTTCTTGAGTTCCCCCTGCACGCTTCAGCTCTGCCTGGTCTCCTTCCTTGAATGCCTCTTCTTCCTGTTAAGGATGTCCTTGACATTAGTGATAATCCAGGGCTTGTTGTTAGGGAAGAGGCGCACAGTTTTTGTGGGAACTACAACATCCATAGAGAAGTTCATGTAGTCAGTTGTGCCGTGTGTGAACCCCTCAATGTCCTCACCATGTGGCTCTTGCAAGGCGCTCCAGTCAGTGGACTCTAAAAAAAAACAGTCTCAGAGCCTCCACTGCCTGAGGAGACCACTTTCTGAAGGTTCATGTGGTTGATATATATATATATTATTAAATTTAAAAGTCTTGGTAATAACTACGTGCCGAGTATAATGATAAGGGATGCAGGAACCAAAATTTTAGGTTCTTTAGTATTACAGATTTCCACGATGGTGTTGTATAATAAAGTCCATAATTTTAAAAGATCTTTGACTTTTTTTATTTGATTTGTTAATTATGTTTTTTTTTAATGTTTTCAATAGACTAAATAAATATACATACACCATTAATTCTTGTGTGTTATTTTTATACATGAAACAACCTAATTAAAAGCGATGCTAACTTTGTCAAACCCTATCGCGACACTCTCTCCAGGCTCTCTTAAAACAGAAATAAAATATTCTGTGTTCCAGTCACACAAGTTGTAATATCACTGAACAGATAATGCAAGAAGACCTACAGTATTTGCTACATGCAGTAGAGAGTATGATTGCTGAGCTAAGTTTCAGGAAATTATAAGAAATCATAATGGAAACCATCAATAAGTAAATCAATACAACCACAAAAGAATGTGAAAAAGAGCTGTCATACACCTGTCTTAAATAAAATAAAAACAATTTAACCGCTAATTATTTTTCCTTAAATCTGTTTGCCAAAAAATTCCCTAATACAAAAAATCACTGTAAAACAGTATTTAAAAAAAAATGTTTTTTCACTAAATGACATTAATCAAAAAAGAGATGCTCCTTATTTTAACTTAGGATCCGCCTCCCCCCCCCCACCACCACCGCCACCACCCAAAACTGTTGCATTGGTACAGGGGAGGGTCCACCTTAATGGAAGAGATACATTATTTCAACCAATTGACGCTTTAATCAGACATAAAAGTGTATGCCTATTTTTATCCAATACATTATGGAGATGGTTTTAACTTTAAAGTCAAATAGTTAAACACATTTTATCTGATTGATAGTTTGACATTTATTATAAACCCTACACATTTCGTACTTTTATTTTGAAGGTCAATCTGCGCCTCCGGTTTACGTACCAGGAACAGCTTATATAAAGCCTCACTCACCTAAACTATACAATTGTTTTATATGACTAATTGACGTTCACGTGAAACGGGTCAGGCAAGCTTTACATATTTGATGAAGCTGTGCAACGATTCATTGACGTTGTTTCTCTTGTCGTGATGGCTGTAACTCTGTTTGTTCTTTTTGTACTTCTGCTTTCTAGTCACGAGGCTGGTGAGTAAAGTGTCTTCTAGTGTGTGATTACTAGTAAAATAAATATATATATATATATATATATATATATATATAAGACTTTTAGAGCGCTTTTCTGAGTAGTCTACTCAGCGATGCCTAACAAAGAATAACAACGAAACAAAACAGTGAAAACAATACAACTAAGAAATTGTCATGATTTGGTCTTATTTAGTTTTGTATTTCAGTATTTAGGTTTCCATGTTTTGCTTTCTCCTGTTCTTCCCTAGTGTTGCTGTTTTTTCCCTTGTGTGTTTCCTAGTTTAGTCTCCAGTGTTATTTTGTAATTTCAAATCCTTGTGTCCCTCTCGGTTCTAGTGTGTCTTGATGACTAACAGTGTCTTCCGTGTTTCTTCTATGTATTTTGTAGTTGTCCTCAGTGTTTCTTGTTCTGCCTCTGTGTGTTTCCCTCCAGTTTAATTACCCTCCAGTTTAATTACCCTCATCGTCTTCACCTGTGTCTTGTGAGTGTCACCTGTGTCTTGTGAGTGTCACCTGTGTCTTGTGAGTGTCACCTGTGTCTGATTACCCCATGTCTATTTAGTCTCTGTGTTTCTTGCTCACTATGTTAGTTCATTGTCGTTTGTAGTTATGTCAGATGTTAGTTTTCCTTGTGCTCCCAGTGATTCCTCGTGGCTACCTTTTTTATTACATTTCGTCTTTTCAATAAAGTAAGTTTTTGTTTAAATATTTTTATTTTTTCATTCTGCACTTGGGTCCAGTTCCTGATTTTTCCACACCCGTGACAGAAATACCGGAGTGAAGATAGTTTCATATTTAACATTCGCCTGTTTTCGCGTCGATTACCTTTAATAGCACCGTGTAAAGCCTCGATTTCTCACAGTTTGGGGATATGTTGGGGAGCGCATTAAGACAGACGTTTCACAGTTTTGATAAACTTCAAATAACCAAAGATGACGATGCAGCTGGGAGCGCAAAGAACTTAATGTCTGTCCAACGCGCTGGTGACTATAGGTGGAGTTAGGGACCGTCGTAAAAGTGCAATACGGCTCATTTCAATCTTCAATAATTTATTTGTTTCAAAATAGACATCTCAATCCACTGCTATTATAGAAGGTGACAGCCCTTAACATTTAACTTAACTCTTCATATCATCATGATCAATGACATATTGCCTTAAATAAGCACATTTCAAGGTATAATCTCAAAGATTTCTCATTTTTGAATTTATCGAAATCAAATCACGTGTCCTGGACATCCTCTCACAACTTTTGCGTTGGACAGACATTGAGTTCTTTGCGCTCCCAGCTGCATTGTCATTTTTGGTTATTTGAAGTTTATCAAAACTGTGAAACGTCTGCCTTAATCTGCTCTCCAACATATCCCTAAACTGTGAGAAATCAAAACTTTACACGGAGCTATTAAAGGTAATCAATGCAAAAACAGGCAAATGTTACAATGTACTTAGAAAATGCTTTTATCCAAAGCAACGTACAGAGATTAAGTACAACAGTAATCCATTCATAATGGATTGTTCAGCGGGTTAAGTGTCTTACCCAGGGACACATCGGACATGTTGCTCAGCTGGAGATTGAACCCTCGACCTACTGGTTGAGAGGCGACGACGCTACCAACTGAGCCATAGCCACCCTATGGCTGTTGGGAATGTTAAATGAGACTGTCTTCACTCCGGTATTTCTTCGTTGTATTGTTTTCACTGTTTTGTTGTTGTTCTTTGTTACGCAGTTGTTTCTGAGTAGACTACTCAAAAAATAATTACATTAAGTATCACTTTCACTTTTATTATAACCATGAATTAGTTATTCATCATTTTATGTAACTGCTAAGGAAAGGGTGAACGTATTTGTGTACCTAGATGGGATCCTGCGCTTTGCCTCCTACTATGGAGACCATATGGTCCTGCAGAAGTCTCCAGAGAGAGCGGTGCTGTGGGGCTATGGCCCTGAAGATGCTCATGTCTTCCTCCTCTTGATCGGACCAACAAATCAGAAAGCTTCACCTGTCAATGTGACAAAAGGCCAGTACAACCTGTTGTCATGTGAAGATGTGGGCAGATATGACAGAAACCACTTAACTCATAAGTTGTTCACAACTATCTTTTACAGGACTGACACAGTTACTATGTCACAAAATTTGGAAAAAAAAAAACTGAACTAAAAAGCAAGTTTCACTCTGAACGGCATTAAACTTCCTCATATGCATGGTGTCCAAAAATGCCTCTCTCATCTCCTCCTCCTCAATCTGCATACAGCCCTTATAAATTACATTTTATTTGTAGACAAATATCACAAGTTTGCCAAAAGGAACTTTACAATCTTATTAAGAACTGCCCTTAGACCCCCCCACCTCCCCCCCCAAAAAAATTGTTTGATATTAATGACTGACTTTACAGGTATCTGGAGGGTCACCATTGACCCTGTTGAAGCTGGTGGTCCCTACACTGTGATAGTAGCCACTGAGAATAGCACAGCCACTCTGACTGATGTGCTGTTTGGAGATGTTTGGCTGTGTGGAGGACAGAGCAACATGTACTTTAATATGTCGCAGGTGGGCTGTCTGTCTTTCCTACAAACTTTTAAGATATACTTTATTAATCCAGAGAGGGGAAATTCAATTTTACACTCTGTTGTTGAACATGCTACACACATGCACAAACAGGATCCTAGGGACATGCATTAATGGGGAGATGTCAGAGTGAGGGGGCTGCCCACAGCCATCGTTCCTGAGCGGGTGGGGGGATTTGGAGCCTTGCTCAAGGGCACCTCTACAGTGCTCAAAAAGGGAACTGGCACATTGCCAGCTGACCAGAGCAATTTCTGGATTTGGTACCTTCAAGGACTTAAACAGCATCCCTCTGGTTTCCATTCCAAGTCCTTATAGACTGCCACCCCCAGCTTATTCTTATACTTGTATAACACACTAAACATATGATGTTTGAATCAGTTAAGTTGACTTTATGAATAGTTTGGTGAAACAGAATTGGATTGCAAGATGTCAGGAAGATAATTAATGGGTATTCCAGTAGCTCACCTCATAAAGCCCCATATACCTCAAAGATGTATTTGGTATCTGTGTGTGTGTGTGTGTGTGTGTGTGTAATTATGGCAAGTCGTAAAGGAAATTAATATATTGAATGAAACCTTGAATATATGGAATGAAGTCTGAATATATAGAATTGAAGCTGATTTCAATTCTCCAAATCCACCAGTTTCATTGTTGTCATCCAAAAGACACCCTGCTGAATATGCTGGTTCTACAAAATGACATCAGCTGAAATATGCCAATACTTTGTTGAACTTCAAAACTTCTTTGAAACAGCTGGTTGTACTCAAAATGTTATGAATAATTTGGAATATAGAATGTGTCACCTTGAAGATCATACTTCAATTATTGGAACACTTTTACTGCTTATGAGTAGTAATGTTCAACAATCATTTCTGAGCGCACGCCAATATATTAATTTCTGGAACTTTCCATATGAACGGCGGCCATAATTAGTGTGTGTGTGTGTATATATATATATATATGTGTGTCTCTAATTATGGCAAGCCGTTCAGGAAATTAATATATTGAATGAAACTTTGAATATATGGAATGGAACTTTGAATATATGGAATGAAACTTTCAATATATTGAATGAAACTGTGAATATATTGAATGGAAGTCTGTAGTGTTATTTCAGCTAACAACTCAGAGACTAAAAAAATCCCTAAAGATGGATGTACAAAGTGCGCTCAGCAATGATTGTTGAACATTACTACCCATAAGCAGTAAAAGAGTTCCAATAATAATATAATAATTATGATCTTCAAGTTGATGCATTCTACATTCCATATTATTCATATCATTTTGAGTATGACCAGCAACTTTTCAAAAAAGTTTTGATGTTCAAGAAAGTATTGGTATATTTCAGCTGATGTCATTTTGCAAAACCAGCTTATTTAGCAGGGTGTCTTTTGGATGACAATGAAACTGGTGGATTTGGAGAATTGAAATCAGCTTCAATTCAATATATTCAAAGTTTCATTCAATATATTCAGACTTCATTCAATATATTAATTTCCTGAAAGGCTTGCCATATCTAATGAACTCCCTTTTATTTATTTATCCAACAGATTTTCAATGCATCCGAGGAGCTGGCCATTGCAGCAAAGTTCCCCCATGTGAGAACTTTTATGGCAGGATTGATAGAGAGTAAAACGGAGCTCACTGATTTGACTAAAGTGGAACTTCCCTGGGCCGTGCCTACAGAAGGTCTGTCAGGGCAGGGTTTAATAATTTATTCATAGATTTGTCTTAAGACTCTTTTTCAGCTAAATGTTTTGATTTGGGGACTCAGAATACAACTGAGACAGTTTTAAAAAACAAAGCTCTGTGATACATGGTAAATGGACTTGAGCTTGTATAGCGCTTTTCTAGTCTTCTGACTACTGATAGGAAATTGTATATTTCCCCCCTAAATATAACTGTCAGCTAGACTCTGCTGGGGCAGATAGTGTTGTAAAACATTGTAAATGTATTTTTTTTTTTTAAATAATGTAAACCATGATACCTTTCGTTCATCAGCGTCTTCTGCCTGTTTGCATTTTCAGAATCTGTGGCACCTTTCTCTGCAGTGTGCTGGCTCTTTGGTCGTTACATGTACAAGTACCTGAATTACCCAATAGGACTGGTTGAGTCCTGTTGGGGAGGCACACCTGTTGAGGTCTGGTCATCTTCAAGAGCACTGAAGCATTGTGGACTGGAGGAACCTGAAGATGGGTAGGATATGAGAAAAAGGGCACTTACCTGCTACCTGATTTGTGTTTTTTTCAGTTGGGATGTGTAATCCACCATGTTACACACTTTTGTCAAACAAGAGATTTAAATAACTACACTGTTGCTACTTGTTGCACATATATTTTTTATTAGTCCTAAAGGAAACTCTATGTTGTGGAATGCAATGATTCATCCACTGCTTAACATGACCATTAAAGGAGCCATCTGGTACCAAGGTAAGACTACCTGCTCAGGCAGTAGATGATCAGTAGAGACACATGTACGATCCATCTTAAAGGCCTTTTCTTACCTTAAGGTGAGGCAAATACATACTATCATACAGACGAGTACAACTGTTCCTTCCCTGCTATGATCGATGACTGGAGGATGGCGTTTCATCAGGGCTCAGGGGGGCAGACAGCGCCAGACTTCCCCTTTGGATTTGTCCAGGTATGTTAGAATATATACTTTTGTTTCTGTCAGCAAAGGTAAACCAAGTAAAGAAAACACATGACAGACAATAAAAATAAGCACAGTGTATTTAAGTGAACTTTAACCCTCAGGCATCAGTTAAATTTACTACCCTCTTAAGTCATTAAGGACAAAAATTTCCACTTTACAAAAAACTGCTATAAAAATAGAACAGATTTTTTTTTTTTTTTGCGTAAATCTCTTCCAGCCCTGCTCAAAACTATCAAATATTGAGTAATTATCAGGAATTTAAGCCTTTAAATGCCAGTTTGATTACATGATTCTGGCAGATAAAGACGAAACATTTGCCCAAATGGACAAAAATGTCCATAATGATGCAAGAGGGTTCAAAGAAACTTCTGACACAGGTAGCCCTCTGTGGTAGCATAGTCTTTGACAGTCAATGATATGTGTACAACAATTAAAACATAGAAATATTTGTTCTCTATAACTTTGCTGCACTGAAGATCTAATGCATGATTTCTTTGTGTTGCAGCTGTCCACAGACAGAAAAGGCTCAGCTGATGACGGCTTTCCGGACATCCGCTGGCACCAGACAGCAGACATTGGCTATGTTCCTAACGGGAGGATGAAGAGAACCTTCATGGCAGTGGCTTTGGATTTACCAGATGAGACCTCTCCCTACAGCACGTAAGTTCTGTGTTTTAAACGTCTTCCTAACAGATATCTTTAAAATACCAATGGGCTTTAAACTTTACTTAAACTTGTGTGTATGTATTGAGAAACATCTGCACACCTGTGTAGTACTCGAACGCGATGATGAAGGCCATTAGGCTGAAACGCGGCAATGTTCTCTACTCTTGTCTTTCTACTTTAAACCTCTCCTACACAAGAGTGCCTGTAACCGCTTCAGAGACCACTCCACTAGTACACAGAGGTAAGCTGGTCTACTGTTGCTTTTTGCTACAATTTGTCCCCACTGCAGCGCACCTTGTATAACCCAATATTACCCGACACACAGCCAGCTTCCATTCATCGTTTCAGTGTGTATGTATTATCACAAACTCTACCACATAAGCAGCTGTGACCCCATGTAGGTACTGACTTTTCTCTAACCATATGTATTTGATTTCTGTTTAAAATAACTAACACTTCATTTGAGAGGTGTGGTGTAGAGAAGGTCTGTGTTATTTTTAAACTAGCAAGACAGGTTTGATCCACTGCTGATAAAGTTTTCTCAGTTCAAATACAAATTCTTCAGCTGCCAGATAGTCCAATAAAACTTCTGTTGATATGCTGCCAGGACACAGCAAGTCCCTGGCATAATTTTCCCTTAAACAGACTTGATATGTTTTTAAAAATGGCAACAGGGTTACTGCTTCTTGTCATTTTTTTCTATTTAAAAAGGTATATAAATGGAGGTATGTGAAATGCTTTCTTTTTACAGCTCTTAGTATAGAAGACCATTAACAAATGCCTTCATATCATGGCCTATTGCCATGTGTTTTTGGATGGGGGTGGGGATGAGCAGTGCAGATGTTACAGCTGAAAAAAAAGAGGTCAAAGGCTTGATCACTAAATTAACCAGCTTGACTGTTGATTGCTTTATAAGGGACGCCTAGAATATTCATTTTTCATTGTTTTTTTTCTTTTTAAAACCAGTGTTTTTTTGTTTTGTTTTTTTAACAATATTAACTTTTAAACTGTCTCTAGGCCTATAAACTGGCTAATAAAAGATGTTTGTGATTGTTTCCTTGTTTCAGGATCCATCCCAGAGACAAGCAGGATGTAGCCTACAGACTGACATTAGGAGCAAGGGCTGTGGCTTATTATGAGAAGCATGTGCCCTTCCTTGGACCTTTCCCTCAACAAATTTTGTCAGCTGCAACTTATGTCAACATTACCTATGACCAGAACGTGTCTGTCACACCATCTAAAGTCATCTTTGAGGTAAGTCTGTTTGAACAAATCAGCTACTAAATGCCTTACTTGTAATTGATTTTTATTCTGGTAATATCTCAAATAAACCAAATAAGCACAACTAGTTAATGTCTTCTCTTGTCCTGTTTGTCTTATCATTTATCAAGATCTGCTGCTCTGGGACTCAGGATCCATGTGGGCCTACGTCCAAATGGGTTCAAGCTCCCATCGTGCAATGGGGTCCAACGACTGTCCAGTTATCTGCCCAACTCTGTCCAGTTACTGATGTGGTTGCTGCCCTCCGGTATGCATGGAGAGACTGGCCTTGTGACTTTAAAGCTTGTCCAATCTACAGTGCCAGTGGGATTTTACCTGCACCTCCTTTTCTTATCAACCACTATCCAGGCGAAGACAATATCTGGATAAACTAGTAACTCAGATACTACAAGACAGAGTAATATAAAAAAGTAGCCTTTTGTGAAATTGTTTAAGTTGATAGGACACTAGCCTGTGCCTGATTGGATGATGCTGTAAGTGATGGAGGTTTTCATTGCGCTGAATGTATGCTATGTAAATGCTCTGATAAAGCATCCAGCCATACGAAGGATGTTTAATTTCCTTTGATTTTGTTTATTTTGTATCATTGTTTTTATGATTGGTTTGACACTAACAAATCCATTTTGAAACAAGTTACAGGATTTATAGTACAAAAGCAGCAGACTGAAGTCTGGAGTACCAAAGGAAAAATTGGCCTTTTACAGAATATTAATGATATTATTTTTTTGATGCATTAATGTGTCCCTCATTTTGTTGTCACTGCTACAGCTGGAGCTAATCCTATTTGAGTAATATAGAAATTGTTTGAATTCTTTTTTTTTTTTCATGGCCTACATATAGCCAGGGCACATAAGATATTTTGACAAATAATGTATTCATTCTATTTTGCATTATAAATCTGAATCTGATAAATAACTAGCAAACAAACTTCAGATTTTCTCTAAATTCTGTGGCGTAAGAAGTATTTTTTTAAGGACAAAAAGGCTTTTTAAAATTTGTACAGAACGTATAGGCTACTGTAATTTGTAACTTTCACCCACTCAGTCGTTAAATGTAAAAAAGTAAACTATAGCTTGTTAAGCTAATATAAGATTTCAGAATTGTGTTGCCAAACGGTCCAGTTTGAAGGTGATTCATGTCGCGTTGCTCTGTGGGTAATGAGTTTTATCACCTGTTGTATTGACGCACGTTCCTAACGGAGTGTGTCCAGTAGCGGAGCACTCGGCGACGGAAATCTGTCATAGCGACGGAGAACCTCACCTACCCTGTGACTATATGAATGTGAAATGAGTTGAGTTTTATCATGTTTATATCATGAGTCAGTCTTAATGACTTTGTTTATTTTGCACAAATTAAAGACAAATTTACTACTGAGTTTAAGTAAGTGTTTTGCATTCAAAGTAAAACTAACAGGATCCAGGTAAAAACACTGATAAATGATCCACTGTTATTTGTTAATTAAACTAACTTCAATGCGTTATAACTGCGGCTGTAGGTTGACGACAAACAGTTCTGTAACATTGCCGCTATGAGCAATATTTAAAAACGAGTAAATGGAAATCTTCACTATCCCTTTTTTCTTTGCTATCACCAATTGGTAAGAACAAAAAGATTCAAACTTCATATATTAAATATAAGGAAAAGCCCTGGTCTTTATACACACATGGCTTATATGTTTTAATACAGAAGTGTTGTCTTAATGTTGCTTTTGGCATGAGTTCAAGGCTAACTCAGCAACCACATCCAGTTTACAAGCATTAATAATATTTGCATACATCCTAACTAATGCTCTCTGATGCACCCTGATAATGACGAGCGCTGAACCACGTTGATTCGATTTACTGTACTCCTTTTACTGTCTGGACTACTGAACCAAAAGAGGGAAATAACACACATTGTGAATTTGTAAATGAGACTGATGGTTCAAAGGGGTTGCAATCATGTTTTATCTTAATTCAGCAGAGTTTTCAGAATCAGGGGCTGAAATATGAGGCGGAGGTCTTCACTGTAGGGGACATCAGGTGGTGTTGATGAGCAGAGCTCGGAGACTGTGCCATCTGTCCTGAGGAAAGGAAATAAAAGGACAAGTTGATGAAGAGCCACTGTAAATGCTTACTGTCAGTGCCAGTGTCAATGTTTACAAATATATCAGAACTGTTGATAAAACTACAACCCAACACTTGCATGAAAATATTGCCCTCATGAAAAACTGATATATAATCAACCTGGTATGTGCTCGGTCTTGATGTTCTCCTCAAAGCCCTGGTGTCTCTGATAGGCCTCAAAGTTGACCGAGGCATCATCCTCTGATAGGCTGTGAGGAACCTGGCCGTCCCCAGGGCGACACACCTCAAAACGTATCCACCGATAGCTACGTGAACAAAGAAAAAAATAATATTTATAAAGACACAGAATCTGAGTGAGTTCAAGAATGGAGAATAGCAAATGAAATATGATAATGCCTGCTCCAACCTCGACGGCAAGGAAGTGTGGACAACAGGAATGTGAGGAATACAACAGAGAAATCCTTCCTGCATATTATCCCATATGTTCTTTTGTAAAGCGTCTCGACTTGTTATGAATTGGAGCTAAACAAATAATGATTGATATTTTGATCTCTGGCTCCGATAATTTCATATCTTAATCAGGAAAATCAATTTAATGCAAACTGTTTAAATATTATCTTTGTTTCTAGTTTTACTGAGAGTTATAAAAGTATTAGATAACAAAATAGAAATTCACAAGAACATACTAAGTCTCTATCTCTCACGACCTGTCGCTGTAAATCTTGACTTGGACATGTTTTCTATAGAGAAAAGATTTAAGATATTTTATGCTCTTGTTTCCATTTTAATAAAATCCTCTTAGTCATAATATTAATGTTTTGCATGTGGTAAAGAGGTTTTAATCTATAGTTATTGCGATTTAATGGTCCGTTAAATGTCCTCATGGTCCCTGTCTGGGTGGCACTTATCTAGAATACGTTTATGTTTCATAAGTTACTATAGTGACTGCAGAATGTTCTTGTTTAAGTAATGAATGTTGACATGTTGATGGCGAGATAGGACAGTGGGTAGAGTCAGAAATCAGGGAGAGAGAGAGTAGGGTATGACATGCGGGAAAGAAGCCACAGGTTGGATTTGAACCTGGGCCGCCTGCTTGGAGGACTACAGCCTCCAAACATGGGGTGCGTGCACTAACCACTGCGTCACCAGCGCCCCCAAAAGTATTAAGTACTTATTTGTCATTCTTAAGCTGGACTCATACAAGATTTGACTACATGTTGTGTATTGTAGTTGACCATCATTATTGGGTGAGAAGGTCGATTTGACTTACTTGCTACATTTGCGTGCTCCAGGGCAGCTCTGGATAAGGTTCTGGATTGTGGGGTGTGAAAAGCCAAAGAAGTCAGCTCCTGATGGCACGATTGGCACCACAGACCTGGAGCTGGGAGAAGGACATGTTTAAAGAGTCTAAAACTAGCACTAAACCACAGAGAAGAAAATCTTGATTTATCTGAGGACACGTTTGAGTCTGTGTGGTGAGTTTTTGATACCTGACAGATGCAACGGCCTTCAGAAGGTTGGAGTGACACGTCAGGGCAGAGGAGGCAACGATGGCATTCTGAGGATCTTCTTCGGGTACGATCTCAAACTGGGGGGATAATATTGAAGTGCATTTGTCAGTAATACAGTCTCTACTCTAAAAACCAAGGTTGTACACTGCAGCTTTATTGTCTTTACTTCTATCAAAACAGATAGATATTCATGTCTGAAAATAAAGGTTCACAAATAATAATGGACATCTTTCAAATTTGACTTCAACATTGAGTCTGTCAGTGTGCATACCTGTGGTCCTGCTCCCCCATCCTTGATCTGGCAGGTGTAGAGGCACTGCTGGTCAGGGTTCTTCTTGCTGGCAAAGACCCTTGTGCTGCAGAATCCCACCGGATAGATGGCACACTCATCATGGAACAACATTCTGTCTGTGATGATCTGGAGTACAGTCATGTTGCATAAGGTAGGAAGCATTAAGAGGTTAGTGTTTACTTCAAGAGAGGCTTTAACTTATCTATCTTATCGGTAGTTTGACACTGACCTCTCCCAGACTGTAGACTGTTAAACCTCCCAGGACGATGGGGAAGACAGGACGACCACACGAGTCCAGAGAGATGGGCTGCACCAGCTTCCGAGAACCGTCTGCCAGCCTTCTCTTCTTTGACATCTTCTTTGGAACTTAAAAAACAAGAAAGAATAAAATAATGCTAATGTATACCTGTTCTCAATTTAAAGCCAAATTTATACAGCACTCACTTTCTTCCTTTCCATTTTCCCTGCCCCGCTCTTTCCTTTCCTTCTTTGGTTTTTTAAGAGCTCCCTCTTCCCCCGTTGAACCCACTGACACATGGTTCTGACCCCCGGGTTGGCCCGAACCCCCAGCAGGACCTGAGGTTAATGCCACGGGTGGGACAACTGGGTGAGAGCTTGTGCCAGGTGTTGGTAGTATCTCTCCCTCTGAAAAAGTTTGGTACTGCAACAACGACTTCAGTAAAAACCTGCAAATGACAATTAGCATGAATGAATTGAGTTCTGCTGTTTTTCTTCAAGTTGACACGACATGAAAAGCATCTCAAAAGCACACCACCATCCATCATATATAACAAACAAAACAAAAAATAGACCACTAGAAACATGTTCTCTCACCTCCGCTCCTCCTTTGCTCTTAAAAACTTCTCTTCTAAGTGAGCAACTTCATCACAGAGAGCTGCATTCTCCTGTGGAATAAACATCATGACTGCACTGTAAAAGCACTTGGTTTACAAACTGGTCCTTTAAGATACTTCAATTCTTTAAAGAAATGAACAAAAATAATTAAAAAATGATCACAACTTCCCTCTTATATCTTAGCACAATGTATGTACATGATGTGAAAGAAAACCTACGATTAAACGATTCTGGAGAATATAATTCACTCACAAATATCATGGCACGAGCAGCTTTACGCAGTCTGAGGTACTTGAGTCGGTACTTCTCATTTTGGGTTTTCCTCTGACCTCTCTTCATCTTTGTCTTACGCCCTGAGGAACTGGTGGGAGATGGGAAGGCGGGGCCAGAGGCGCCTGATCCAGAACTGGAAATGGTGTTTTGATGTGGAGAGCCGAGGAAAGACTGCGCAGCAAAGGCTTGTAGAGCCTGCTGCCGCTCCTCATCAGTCTATGAGGACACAGACGGTGAGAGAACGTCAGAGATCTGCTCATTTGAACCAGGAGGATCTGAGGCTTGTGTTGATTATAAATGACTGATGAAAAAAAAGGAAACCAAACTGAAGACAACTTGATAACAATGATAAGAGTTTACACTTAAACTACAGTATGACAAACAATGGCATTCTGTGAAAACAAAAAGTGCAGCAAGCTTTAGAACTTCTTAAACATTATATGGAGGATATCCCTCTTTATCCCCTTTAAAGACTTCAAGTGTACACTAGTCAAAATCTTGTGTCCAACATGTCTCCTAGCGCCTGCTCCTGACAGTATTTAGCAGATAGTAACCGTCATTGACTTTGGTGCTTAGCTTATAAGGCATAACCACCAATAATTATTGATAATGTATTAGTAGTGTGACATATAAAATAACATATAAAGACCATATAAGGACGGGCCAAAAATCTGAGTCTGACAAAACAATCTGAACTTTTGTATCACACTGATGCATGAACATTCCCCCTGTCCATTGTTGTAGTTTGAAAGGTTGAATCATAACAGAAACACACAATCTGGACAGCAACAGGCACAAACCAATAGTTCTCTAACCTCTGAATTTAAGCCAGGTCATAAGGTCATGTTCTGACACACGTACACACATACCCACACACCCTTTCCTGGTAATAGACCAGGTGTCCGCCCCAAGAAACTTCTAGGACATGTTCTTTATATAGCACACATGTTGTAATTGCCCATAAAAGGATGTTTAGGATGCTATAAAAGAACTGCTCCAAAATAAATAAACAGATCCTCAATTCACAAGCCATAGTCTCTGTCTGATTGTTCAAGAGCATTTACTCTTCTACACTATGGCGCTGCGAGCACACTAGGAAGAGTGACCGGAGCAGCTTTAATAATGTAAGGAAATCAACAGAAGATATCAGAGTAGATGAAACCAGTTTCAGGATACTAGACCTGCAAAAGCAGGCAACTATAATATTTTATAATGTGAAAATGGTCAACATAATAATATCTGTAATTATGAGAAAACTATACCAGGTCGTGATGTGTATAAAATGACAGCTCTGGACCAAGCTCACGTGTAAACGGCATTAACTCAGTCCTTTCCCATTACAAATAGTGTAAAATTAAAGAAAAAAAAGGTTAAAAG